GCAGGGAGGGGTGGGGACGTCACCAGTAAGGGAAAACCTAGCAGTGAGGCATGGGGACATCACTGGTGAGGGGTGGAGATGTCATCAGGGAGGGAAGGGGACACACCAGAGAGGGAAGGGCACATCGCTAACAAGGGAAGGCAACCTACCAGTGAGGGATTGGGGATGGGGACATCACTGATGAGGGACAAGGATGTGCCAGGGAGGGTTGAGGGCACACCAGTGAAGGATGGCGATGCACCAGTGACACCACAGTGGTTTGCAGACTGGTGGGGCAGAGCCACCTGCGCTGGGCCCGGGAGCTGCGCTGACACTTGTCCCCTCCGTGTCCCCTCTCCCAGTGCCAGCAGCCCTGACGCTGGACCCTGGCACGGCCCACCACCGCCTGATCCTCTCCGACGACTGCACCATCGTGGCCTACGGCAACCTGCACCCCCAGCCTCTGCAGGACTCCCCCAAACGCTTCGACGTGGAGGTCTCAGTGCTGGGTTCGGAGGCGTTCGGCGCCGGGGTGCACTACTGGGAGGTGGTGGTCTCCGAGAAGACCCAGTGGATGATCGGCTTGGCCCACGAAGCCGTCACCCGCAAGGGCAGCATCCAGATCCAGCCCAGCCGGGGCTTCTACTGCATCGTGATGCACGACGGGAACCAGTACAGCGCCTGCACCGAGCCCTGGACCCGGCTCAACGTCAAGAGCAAGCTGGAGAAGGTCGGCGTCTTCCTGGACTACGACAAGGGGCTCCTCATCTTCTACAACGCCGACGACATGTCCTGGCTCTACACCTTCCGCGAGCGCTTTCCCGGCAAGCTCTGCTCCTACTTCAGCCCCGGGCAGAGCCATGCCAACGGCAAGAACGTCCAGCCGCTCCGCATCAACACCGTCCGCATCTGACGGTGGCTTTTGGGGTGTCCCCCGCCCCACCCCGGGGCGTTTTCCCCCCCAGATCCTGCCCCAGGACTTGGCCCCGGCGCTGGGCAGGATCCGACGCTTTTGCCACCCCCTCAGCCGGTGCTTGTGGGGGGGGAGGGGGGAGGGGGGGCCGGGCTGCTGCAATAAAAGGGGTTGGAGAGATGGGGCTGGGGGGAGGGGAACCCCGGCGGGGGCGGG